CTTAGCAATTTCTCTGAATGCAAAAGAGGAGGAAGATAATTCTAGTTTAACAATATAATTGCCTTTGAATCCACAATCTATGACTTCTTAGGAAAATTTCCCACAATGAAATTGTCTTATAAAAAGAAATGGCCCTAGTTAAAAGCCCTGTGTTTTCAACCCTATGATTAGCTGCTGGATTTTGAAACTACATCTGGTGACCTTACAGATATCCTTCAAGAGCTCTTAGAGCTGACTGGAAAAGTGTTCATCTCAAGCTCTTCCAATTATTTAAGAGACCAGTTGAAGAAGTAAAAGATATGTCTGATAATGAGACTTCTCCATTTTCCACTAGAAACAAAAACTTTAGATAACATTTAACAAACTAGTTAAACAGTTAAGATTTTCTATTTACTATCTATATTATAAAAGGTTGTGGCCCTAACGCCATAATGACCAACTAAAGACCGCCGCGGGTGGGCGGGGCTGCACAATTTTGCATGCTGTGCTTCTAGTGAAAAATATAAAAAACTAGAGAAGCCCTAACCGGTTTGGCTCAGTGGATAGAGAGTTGGCCTGCAGACTGAAAGGTCCCAGGTTCGATTCCGGTCAAGGGCATGTACCTTGGTTGTGGGCACATCCCCAGTGGGAGGTATGCAGGAGGCGGCTGATCGAAGTTTCTCTCTCATTGATGTTCCTAACTCTCTATCCCTCTCCTTCCCTCTTTGTAAAAAATCAATTAAATATATTTTTAAAAAAAACTAGAGCAAAAACACACAGAGATAGCAAACAGACAGAGTTTATCCTATCTAATAAAAGACAAACAGGGTAATTGACCATACCTTCACTACACTTTCCATTGGCTAATCAGGGTGATATGCAAATTAACTGCCAAGAAAGATGGCGGTTAATTTGCATACATAGGTGCAATGAAGCGAAAGGGGAAGGACGGAAGAACAGTGATTAGAGCTGGGTGGCCCTGCCCCCCACCCTGGATCGGAGAACCGGGGTGCCTTTGCCCGCTCCTAACCGGTGGGCTGCAGGCAAGGTGGCACCCCTGGGACCCAGGAGCCACCTTGCCTGCAGCCTGCGATCGTGAAGGCTTTGAGGGGGCTCCCGCCCCGGGCTACAAAGGCTTGGAGGCGGCTCTGGCCAGAACAGACACGGACAGAGATAGGGGGCTGGCCTGCTGCCTCCGCAGCTGAGCGCAGGCCCGGAGAGGAGACGGCGGGCCTGCCTCCCGCAGAAGCAGTGCAGGTCCCTTCCGCCTCCCATGGAATCTGCAGAGTCCCTCCATGCTCCAGCAGAAGTGGCGTGACTCCCTCCCACCTCCCACAGAATCAGTGCGGCTCCCTCCTGCCTCCAGTGGAAGCAGTGCAGCTCCGGTCGGTGCACTGCGGTTCCTGCCAGCTCCCGCGGAAGCAGTGGGCAGCCTACTGCGCAATATTGCGCAATGGGCCACTAGTTATAAATGGCCAGTTCTGACACTTTGATAGAAGCCCACAGAATAGAATGGAGATGTCTGTACCATAAAATACTCCATTGCTACCATCTGGTACTCAGGAGACTCCAGGTTTATATTGGAACCTTCCTATTGCTGGTTTCCCAGTGAGTGGTCCACTGTCTACAGTTCTGCTTGCTAAGAACTGCAAAGGTTCTCAGAGCCAACTAGGGGCTTTGCAGGATGGCAAGAGGTTACGGAGAGAAGGCCTGGAGGTGTTTTTTTGCTGATCCCAATGACCATGATCAATCAGGTCAACAAATCATGATAAACTTGGGGATCAAGTATTACCACTGACTGCTTGAAAGGCCAACCTGCTATCTCCTCAAAATCAAAATACATGCGGGGGAGGGCAAGGGCCTCGGGCAAATGAAGTCTGCATGATATATTCTGATTCCCATAAAAATTCTGTATCTTCATCACAACATCGTTGTGATACTAATGACCTAAGCTTTCTGTAGAACCCTATTACTTAATGGTAGATATTTGAATTTTGTAAATCAGGTGTTATTTTAGAGCAAACACTTATAAAAAATATACAAACAAAAAACAAAGCGAACTCAAACAAACAGTACACTACAGGAGGGAATAAAATGGCTATTTAAAAAGCTGTCCCATAAGAGAGTGTGAGAATGGGGTGCAAAGGGATTCTTATTGGACACTTGGAGTCACATTTACTAGGAAAGAAAAAAGAAGGGATTAAGTCCAGATTCACAGCATAAGACAAGGAATAATAGATAGCACTGTTGGATCCAAAATTTTAGTAAAACTAAAATTTGTTTTTAACATCACAAGGAAACAAGTCCAAGTGGCTGGGAATCTTGCTTTCTCCAAGTTCAGTGCAGCCCTTTTATTTAAATTAATAGTCTGGCTGCCTGCCAAGCTGTGAGGCTTGAGGACTGGAGGAAGTTTGGAAACATAAGGGCAGGATTGCTTCTGCTGGACTTGCACGTTCCTTGGGATCCACTGGGATCCTCACCCACTAAGAGCCAGTAGGAGGTCATAATTGTGCCTTTATATGTCTAGACCTATGTCTCTTTAAACATTGTCCTCTGATTTCTACAATAATCCATGTTCTTTGTAACAATAAGAGAAAGCTTCAGCCCAGCTGGTGTGGCTCAGTGGTTGAGCATGGACCTATGAACCAGGAGGTCATGGTTTGATTCCTAGTCAGGGCACGTGCGGGCTCAATCCCCAGTGTGGGGCATGCAGGATGTAGCCCGATCAATGATTCTCTCTCATCACTGATGTTTTGATCTCCCTTTCCCTCTACTTTCCTCTCTGAAGTCAATAAAAATATAGTTTTAAAAAAAGAAAAATCCAAATTTTTTCACTTCATATAATAGTTGCATTAAACATTACAGACACAAGAAAAAGCTTATTGAAATTTTTCCCTCATGCCCAAGTCCACTCTTCTGTTCAGAGGATGGAAAGACCACTTTGGTTTAGATCAGCGGTTCTCAACCTGTGAGTCGTGACCCCTTTGGGGCTCAAACGACCCTTTCACAGGGGTCGCCTAAGACCATTGGAAAACACATATTGACTATATAATTACATATTGTTTTTATGATTAATCACTATGCTTTATGTTCAATTTGTAACAATGAAAATACATCCTGCATATCAGATATTTACATTACGATTCATAACAGTAGCAACATTACAGTTATGAAGTAGCAACAAAACTAATTTTATGGTTGGGGGTCACCACAACATGAGGAACTGTAATAAAGGGTCTCGGCATTAGGAAGGTTGAGAACCACTGGTTTAGATGACCTAGAAGATTTCATAAGTTGAGTGGCCATTTGAGTAGGGCCTTTAAGAATGTTTTTTGAGAAGCATAGGTAAGGAAGGAATACATTTTAGGTGGAAGAAATAGAATGAATATATTTGTGAAGGGGGAAAGACCTACAGGAACTCAGGAGGTTCTGGGAAGGAAGGAATGCTAACCTCAGGGCTGTGAACAAAGAGAGGAATAACAAGAAGCAAGAAGTTACAAAAATCAAAAAGGTAGACAAGGGCCTTTAAGGTTGCCGATTGGGTCATCCTTGGTAACATTGGAGAGAGGATAACCTTCCAATTCAGTGGGTGGAGGCAAAAGCCTGGAAATAGAGGTTTGCAAAGACTGTTTCTTACACTAAGAAATTAGACTGTGTAGGAAAGAACACCTGAGATTATCAGAGCTAACACAATAGCCCCAGATTTTTTCCAAGATGGCAAACTAGGAAGGCTTAGTATTAGAGGCATCACTTCTGAGACAGGAGAACTCAACAGGGGAGTGGAGCAGGACTGCAGAGTGACAGTGGTGTCCAGTTCAGTCGGACAGCATGACTTTGTAGTTGGGCATGTTAATGGAGTCATACGATCTTCCCCAGAACACTCTGAACCCCAAGGGCACCATCTCTAAATGACTCGGTGGAGGAATCCAGGGCTGGGCACTGGCTGAAGGTCATGCTGAAGTCAGGATATTTATGAGAACAGCAGTCCACGGTTGACCACTGCCATTGTAAATGAGTTGGCCCAGGAATGAAGGAGACTTAAAGGGACCTCACAGCTTGGGTAGGGGAGGGTGGAAGATAGAGTGATTGGGAAGGCTCGTGTATCGAATGTAGGTACCCAGGGGGTGGGTTTTATTATTATCAGTATTTTTTGTGATGGTGGTGGTGGTGGTGGTGGGATGGGAGGGATAGTAATCTAAATTACATCAATGCATTCAGTGTGAACATGTAAGGCACTATGCAACCCAGAAACATTAAGTTTGAGGAACAAATCAGCTAGCCGAAATAGGCACAGAGAGTCTGCTGTTGGTAATTTGTTCTTCTAATTTCTGGATCAAACAGAATGAAAAAAATAAAAAAACACAGTGGAAAATGCATTAGCCCTAGAAAAAATCTGACAGCTGACTCTTCTGCAAGACTGGAGGCTGGGGGACTGTAACTCAGGAAGGTTTGGCTGGCAGCCACCTGGCAGTCAACTCGCTGTACACGGAAAGGAACAGCTCAGGTTAATGAAGCAGCTTAAATTACTTAAAGGCATTCAGGTTACAAACTATGCAGTAGGCGGGGTATGCCAGTCACAGAAAAAGGGTGTCTCCCACAGAAAATGTATAAGGAAAGTGTGTAGAGAATATCAAAACATAAATAGACCATTTATATGAGGAAGGAGTTTGGTTTTCTTTCCCAATCACCCGTAAAGCTAAAGCACTGTGTGGCACATGTCAAAACTAGCAGCTACAAATGTGCAAATGCACAAACAAAGCTTTCAACTTTAATTATGCAATATATTGGAATGTTAATAAGCAAGAAAATGCAGTAGGCTTTTTTTTCAAACATATAGAATTAGAGTTAATCACTTGTGTGCTGCAACTTGAAGTGTGATGATTTAAGAAGATGCAAGACTTTAAGTTAAAAGCTGTTACCAAATCTCTTACTCTAAAATCTAGGTGTAATTCGTATTTTACACTAGGAGTTAAAGGGGAGAAAGCAACTAAAATTAACAAAAAGAGAAAAGAATACAATACCTCTGGGTTCATTATTCCTTCTTTTTTAAAACAGCTGTAAAACATATCCATGGAAAATACTTCACTCCAAAGATATCCATAATATTGGCCATCATATCCCCCTGCTAAATGTCCAAAAGTAGCTGGCATGTTTGTGCCTTTAAGAAAAGATACATTTCAATCAATGTGATGGTAAATGTTAATTACCAGGTCAGGTTATCAGCTAGCTAAGGTTTCCTAGGGAGCCCTGCTGGGGGAGGAGAGATAGGATTTCACCTCCAATACACCCTGGGTTTCCTTGTGCCCTTGGTCAAGATGTTTACAAACTTCCCTCCAGGGATGGCTCAACCTCTGAGCTGGTTTCGGCCCTAAGCTCTGGAATGCTTAACAATAGTTTCAGAGGCTTTGTCCACACCCATCAGATAGCTCAGTGTTTCAGAATCCCTCAGTCCTTTCTTCTCCCTTAGACACACATGTATTTTACAAATACTCTAATATTAAGCCGATTCTTTGTCACATCTTTATATTTAAAATGTGTCAGAACAACACTTATTAGGTTCATAATTATTGAAAATGAACTCTTTACTTGAAAAGCTAAAAATGGTTTTTTTTTTTTTCTGTATAAAAAGGTTTTTAACAATTCCATTTACCTCTAGGGATACATTCGAAAGGATTTTGTTGAAGTGGCCTCAGGCACAAAGCTGCTGTAGGGTCAACTATAAACAGGTCACAGAAGGAAGTGAGGAGCTTAGACTCTACTGACTATTCTGAACTTTATCATCTCTACAACTATGACCGATTCATTTAAATAACAACTTATTGGTGGAAAAAAGTCTCCTTACTAACTACATATAAGTAGAACTACATGTTAGCTTTAAATATACATAATATAAGTGTAAACACATATGTGTGTGCAGCTATCCACCCACCCACATGAATCATCTAAGTATTAGGTCAGAGATCTAAGTCCAGCTGATCTCAGAGTCAGAAACAACGCAGAAGTCATGCTTCTCTCTAAAACTGCCCCCTCTCCCCACTCCCCCAGCTTCCTCCTGAAATCATTGGGAAGTCCTGGTGCACACAGGGAGGGAGGAGCCGGGTGGGTGCTGCCAAATGTGAATGGCTTTCTGCGCTCTGGGGTGGAGGCCAATTGCTCACGCCTGATTACACTAAAATGCTGCAAAAGCTGGAGCCACCTTTCCTTCAAGCACATTTGGAGCGGACAACTCATAATCTGAAAGTCCGAAAGTCATGGCCTGATGACAGAAATCAGAAACAAAATACATGAGGTAATCTGCCCGACAAACCCCTTCTTCCCTGGCAGCGTTGAGGAGCACATCCTGTGCGACACAGGAAAAATGAACTCAAGTCATAATAGAACTTCCGTACCTGGAGTGGCCGCAACACCTAAAATTTCTGTGCAGCATTTGGCGTATTCACTTGCAGCATCCAGCGATGTGTTGGTGTGGAGAGACTGATCAACTTTGCTCAAAACAATCTGGCGCAGGGTCAGAAGACCTAATAACATAAGAATGTTTGGGCATGTTTTGCAGAAGAGAACTGTGTGTTCTAATAGCACAAGATCATAGATTCAAAAGTGACTCCTGTAGTACTCATTACAAAATGGAAGCAAAACATCTCATTTAAGATGGAAATGTAGATGTATCTTTTTTCTTGGACATAATCCCAGGGCTCAGTATTGCAGTGTATTAAGTGGTCTTCCCACATTAGTGCTCTGGGGGTACTGTCATTATTAAAGGGGAAACAGTTCTATAGGAGATGCCAGCAATCCCCTATTAAGCAATTCTAACTTATTTTCCCTTTCTAAAATTACAAGTCATACCTGTGTTGACCAGTCTAGAAGCAACAAGATTTTCAAGCAGATCATCCATAATAGGTCTCCCATCTTGATAATGCTTTGACAGTCTCCGGAGGGAATCAATGTCCCACACCCAATTTTCAAGCATTTGTGATGGGACTTCTACAAAGTCAGTTTCCACATTTGTTCCACTAAACCGTGCAAAATCAGTCTAGAAAGTAAACATAGAGGTCTTTTTTTAAAAACAACAACAACAACAGGGATGAAAAACAAATAGGTGATGAATTACATATAAAGAAAATTCTCTAAAACTTAAGTCAGAATCAGAGTCAACTGCCCCTTTAAATGAAGGTTTAGAAAACCTTAAAATTAAATGAAAATAAAACACAGCAGCCAAGCAGCATAAAAAATATCCCCTAATACTCTATATTAAAATGATGTTTTATTTTTTTGAATCATAAACAAACATGGAACAATTATCCAGAAATCATAACTGGGAAAAAAAAAATCAGGATTTTTCTACTGATTTCTAAACTGATTTTTCTCTACTACTTAACTACTCAGGTTTTAATCAAAATCAATTAAAGAGTTAAATTACAACACTACAGACAGATACCCTTTGTGTATGTGTGATGTTTTATGTTCTAAACTTTAAGTGAGTGTGTCTAAGAAAACCATGTTTATAGAAAGTCTGAGTAGTACCTCTCAGATTAGGTAGAAGACGTTACCTTAAAATGAGAAGCCAGCTATTGCCCTGGCCAGGCATTTTTATTGCTTTTTATTGATTTCAGAGAGGAAGGGAGAGGGAGAGAGGGACAGAAACATCAATGATGAAAGAGAATCATTGATCAGCTGCCTCCTGCACACCCCCTCACTGGGTATTGAGCTCGAAACCCAGGCATGTGCCCTGGCTGGGAATCAAACCGTGACCTCCTGGTTCATAGGTCGATGCTCAACCACTGAACCACACTGGCAGGGCAATAAAAAACTTTTAAAACAAATTTAAAAAATAAAATGAGATGTCACTTCAGTGGGAGTTAGGCTGTATATTAGTTGGCAAGAGGGGTGAGATAAATGCAGCTAACGAAAGGAGAAACAAAGAATATATTCAGAAGTTAAAGCACTCTTCTGTGAATAAAAAAGGGGTACTATCATAAATCAGTGACTGAACGTAACCTCACAGAGTGATTCCTAACTGGGCAGGTCAAGGTGGGTAGCCATGCCCCAGGCCTGTAACTTCCCTAGTAAAAGGTTCTCTTTGCCTTACGCAAGCCCTGTCCATTGTTTTTGTGTATCTAGGTCAGTGATGGCGAACCTTTTGAGCTTGGTGTGTCAGCATTTTGAAAAACCCTAACTTAACTCTGGTGCTGTGTCACATATAGAAATTTTTTGATATTTGCAACCATAGTAAAACAAAGATTGATATTTTTGATATTTATTTTATATATTTAAATGCCACTTAATAAAGAAAAATCAACCAAAAAAATGAGTTCTTATGTCACCTCTGACACGCGTGTCATAGGTCGCCATCACCGATCTAGGTTAATGCACATTTGTAATGTCTCTTTTTCAGACCTCTCTGAAAACCACCACCAGGAGAGCACCCGATTTTTAACCACTCTGTAATCCAATCATAGAGATTTCCCACCCACAGGTAATCTCCCTTAATTCCCTCAATCCCAAACATAAGAACTTCAGAACTGTCATTTGCAGGCAGCATTTGAGGCCTTGCTTTCTGGCATGTCTTCAGTTTGGCTCAAATGAACTCAGAAAAATTCTCTCCAGGTTGGGATGTTTCTTACATTGACACCTCGTAAAAATAAAAGTACTTCTAAGCTCTGGCTAAGAGTTAAAATAAAGGTTTCTGTTGTTGTTTTTAGGGAAAGTTTAGTAAATTGTTGAACTGGATATCAGAAAAGTTCCTGAGCGGAGAGCTGGAACTTGACTAGAACAGGCTGGTTTTAACCTTCACACCACCCAAAGAACTTGTGTAAAACTGCCACGGGCAGCGGAGTTTTAGCATTTTCCCAGCTGGGTCACTGGGGTTATCCTTCTGTTGTCTTTCCCTGCAACTCTATCTGATAGGCTTCCCTCTTCACAAACTTTAGATCCCATCTTCACTCCCTGACTCCACCATCCCCGCGGCTCTACAGGGAAGGGAAAGGAAG